ACTGGGAAGGTATAGGAAGAGTGGATAGGAAAGAGGGAACCGATTACAAGGATCTACATGTGACCTCCTCCCTGGGGGACGGGCAACCGAGGAGTGGGTGGAGGGAGACGTCGGACATGGCAAGATATGACAAAAAAACAATTTATAAATTATCAAGGGCACATGGGGGAGGGGGGAGCAGGGAGGGAGGGGAAAAATGAGGACCTGGTGCCGGGGGCTTGAGTGGAGAGGAAATGTTTTGAGAGTGATGAGGGCAATGACTGTACAAATGCGCTTTACACAATTGATGTGTGTGTAGATTGTGATTAGAATTGTATGAGCCCCTAATAAAATGATTAAAAAAAAAAAAAGAAAGAAAGTATGCAGCCATATCTCTGCGCATAGATAGTAGATAGTCTGTAGTCATTCGATGACTAGAAACTGCTTCTGTGAGACCAGAGAGCCCAGCACGCAGCTCAAAGGAACCAATGTGCAACGTTCTTTACAGGGCAGGCCTCATCTGGGCAGAACGCCAGATAAAATTTTCTTTAAACATATGATTTTACATTCTTTCCAGTAGTACTTCTCGCAGGTGTTGGAGCGCTCATCCAGCAGGCCTCAGCTCTTTAACGGAGGGGGGAAAGGCCAAAGGGAAGAAGAAAAGAAAACGCCTGTGGTTTCTTTAAGAATGATAAATTCTAAACGACGAGATAGTCGCAGCAGAGAAATAAATACATCACAAAGATAAGAGATGATTCTCTTCCCCCTACAAGAAGTGCTGAGCTCTCAAATAATTAAGTAAAGATAAACAGAACCTGCAAGCAGACTTACAATTAGCAAATGGGCCCCAGCCTGGGAAAACGAGGAAACTTACTCATTTAGGGAACACATTTCTTTGCCAAAAATCAGAATAAAACAGCAACAGCATGGCTTGATATTTGCCAAGTGAGTGTGAGTTCACTGCCAGCCGATACTTTTCCTCTCCACAGCAGCTTCATGTTTCTAGAACTTTAAATCCCTAGAAGGATTTGCGGGCCACGTAAGATGGGTATGCTTCGCTTTCAAGCCAATGGTTTCCATAAGACGCTACTTTGAAGAGGTTCACCCAGGACCTTCAGCCCAGAAGCCGTCTAATCAAATGAACAACTGCTGCTTAAACCCAGAGACTTCACCTGGGACCAGTTGATCTCCCCAGGGAGAAAGGATATGATTCGCGGGTTCCTGAATTTTGATGAGGAAGAACAAACATTTCTTTTCACCAAACTCTTAACTAAAATGTGTAAAACTGGAGTCATATTAATAGTCACGGGGGACTTTTCAAGATCGGAAGGTTGGCAGTTTGAACCCACCAACCACTCCAAGGGAAAGACATGTGGCAGTCAGCTTCACACAGATTACAACCCAGGAAACCCGAGGGGGCAGTTCTGCTCTGTCCTACAGGGTCCCCATGATTCAGGACCAACCCGACAGCAATGTCTCGAGGTATTTTCACCTAACTATAACACACTTTAAAAAAATCACATTATACCAAAAGCAAACAAAAAATCCAAACCCACTTCCACTGATTTCGACTTCTAGGGGACCATATAAGATAGCGTTGTTTCTGACTTCTAGGGACCATCTAGACAGAATAGAAATGATCCTTTGGGTTCCCAAGACTGTCAATCTTCATGGGAGCAGACAGTCTCATCTTTCGCCCCAGATGTGGCTGGTGGGTTTGAGCTACTGGCTTTGGAGTTAACAGCCCGACATGTTAGCCACTCCCCACCAGGACGCCCATCGCATTAGAGTTGCTGCAAGGGTTCTCATGAACCAGTCACACTCAACACTACTTCAAAATCCCCGAAGTTATTAGACCTCTCTGTTATTTAATGATAACAAAGAAGCACACACATTACTATTCCACAATTTGGTTTAAAAGTATTTTTATAATTATAGATTTTAATAGAATTGGGTACCTTGGTAATCACAAATATTTTATTTTATGTATTAAAAATTATGGTATGAATGGGTTCACAGAATTATGGTGTGAATGGGTCCACAAAAAGAGAAGCGCTCCTAGCTTAATTTCCATTTTTGCTCTTTGTTAACTGAGCATATGGATTTAAGAAAATTGCACAATATACTTGCCTAGGTCATAGATGCAGCGTGAATTCTGCCAAACTCTTAGAATAATGTTGTATGTTCCACTTTTGCCAAATGAGTATCCATTCCATTAAGTGGCAGGAGACAGTAAAAACTCCACAAAACAATTGATATTATTATTTAGGGATCGTAGTAGCAATAATTATAGCATCTCTATAAGTAAAACTCTGCCAAGTCCCTGGTAATTTTCATAACCAAAACCACCCCCATGAAATATATGTAGATTAAGCCTTGGGTGAATCACCTCTGACCACAGAGCAGGGATGCGCATAGCCTTGCCACCATGCAGAGTGCATGAGAAAGTGCATCCTTGCAGATATGGGGTTAAAGTTTAATGCCTTATCATTTGATCTCCCTTTTAACCCATTTCAAGTTGTTCTACTCTTTAATCTTTCCTGCTTTCTTTTCAGTTGAGGGTTTTCTCTGACCTTGTTATTGTCCTTGGTAGGGCGGGCTTCGTCTGTGAAGTCCAGGGTAGGTACATCCAGAGAGACAGCAACTGGATTAATGGTGACTTGGGGTATGTCAGGGGAGGTTGGGGAGAAATGGGGAGCCAATAACAGTGAGTACAAGAAAGAAGAAAATGCTCTAAACATGATTGTGGTGATGATTGTACAACTCTTCTTAATATGATTGAACTATTGAATTGTATGATGTGTGAATTATACGTCAATGAAATAGTTAAAAACCCTGTGGGGCACACCTCTAATCAGATACACATGAGTCATCGTGTATCTGCAGGGCACCTGGTAGGACAGTGGGCAAGGACTTCTTCTGTCTGGGTGGGCTCTTTCCTCCATTATAGATAAACACACACACACACACACACATATCACTAAAGAAATAAAAAAGACAAACAACCCTCACTGCCGTCAAGTGGATTCCGGCTCGCGGCGGCCCTCAAGGACAGGCCAGAGCTGGCCTGTGGGCTTCTGGGACTGTTTCAGAGAGTGTCTTTCTCCAGAGGAGCAACCGCTGACCTTGCGGTTAGCAGCCCAACATGGGACCCACAGGGCCAACAGGACTCCTAAGTCTATCTCTAAGTAAAAGTGATACTTTATGATCATGTTTGGATGCAGATGAATATATGATTATCTATGAACACCTTTTCTTCAACCTTAAAAACACCCGCCCCAACAGTAACTCAATTACTTCTGTGTTCTCATTTCATTGTCTCACTTCTAAGAGTAGAGAAGGCTCACATCTACCTATTTTACAGATGAGATAACTGAGGTCTAGTAAAGCTGAGACCTTCTAGCTAGTCGAGGCCAAAAAGTGAATATTATCCTCTCACTCACCAGATGGCGAAACAATCTAAGAGGTTTGGGAAGTTGTAGTCAGAGTCAGGGCTGGGATTCAAATCCCATTTGGTCAGAATCCAAAACCTTGAGTCTTCTCCATTGTATTGTACTGCCTGCCTTACTTTGCTCTCTCTAAATCACAGAGCTGAGGATTGTTAAAAATAGTCCCTGACCCCCTTCCCTCCCTCGGTTGCATCAAGGGGTGCCCACCCTCAGGGGAGAAGAAGAGAAAGCATTTCCAAGACCTTTCCAAACTTTAGCCCAGCTCCATTCAAGGACCCCTGGAGAGGGGGCGTGGCTTTGGGATTGTGGCTGTCTCTTTGAAGGCCCCAGGCCACCCAGCCACTGGGGAGGACAGGAGGCTCCTGGGCTACTCTGCTGATGCTCCTGAACACAGCCACCAGCAGAGAAGAATGTGTATTTTTAATCAAGTAGTTCACTATTGAGCATCATGATAGCCTAGCAATGTGGTTTTTGAATTTTAGGAGTAACTTCAACCAATAATTAATGCTTGCATATCTCATCTCATCTCCCCCAAATGTGAAGGCAAATTTCTTGATTCCCTTTTTAGCTTTTCTGAAACCAATAGGCATTTTTGCCCTACTTTTGATCCTATTTGTTTTCTCATTGCTGTAAACTGTTGCAGACCATAAACCAAGAGCCATGTTCTTCACTCCTCTTACTAAAGCAGGCAGTGGTGGGAGTTCTTGCACTTTTAAGAAGTGCCAGGTTTAGGAGGGCTTGGCACGTTGCCCAGAGAGCGTCCAAACTGCAATCGCTTGCACAGGCGTCCAGGCTCGCCCTCCTTACCCTCCTCTTCTCTGGAAGCTCTCATTTTGGTCGTTGTGGTCATGCCACATTCAATCTGCTTCAACTCCAGTGAGATCGCTAGACTCTGATGTCGTTTTTTATTCCTCTCATGGTTGCCCCCTCACTCATTAGCAGACTCCTCTTCTGAAACTATTTGCAAGCTCTGCACATCAGCCTTCCTTTAACTTAAATAAGGAAGCCGCTATTTACAAAAGCATGCATCCGCAAATCTATTTTTTCCAAACAGTTTGTTTCTCAAGCCCATTTTACAAGTTATGCCCAACTTTGCTTCCTTTCTGCTCTAAGTCCTTATGAATGATGGAATCGGAAGCACCCCCAAGGAACCATTAATTTCTATTTAAATGTTTACAAAGTGTTTTCTTGTAGAGATTTTGTGTGTTATTTTAGTGCGCCAACGAGAAAACCCCAAGGCAGCAAAAAGGCAAGCTCTGTAAGTTGGGTTCCAAAAGCAAACGGACTTTCAAATGACATGCATTCCTCCCTGTGAGCTTGATCCCAGCCAGCTTTCCTGAAAACCAGGGCAAACCTCTCATTGATTTTTACTGGAAGTATACCTATGCCTGACCTGAGAGCCTGCCGTAACCGCAGGGAGAAAGGTAACAGCCAAGTTCAACAGCTGACCGTCTAAGGAAGCAAAGATTCCTTAGCACAGTTTCTTTTTCATAGAGGCTTAAGAAAGAAGAAGCTAGCAAACAACCAAAGCTAAGCTCCTCTCTTCCTCTCTTCTCTTCCTTGTCTTTTCAGGAACTTCCACAATTTACAGAACCTTAGCTTGGCTTATTGCAAAAAATTCACAGATAAAGGTTTACAGTACCTGAATTTAGGGAATGGATGCCACAAGCTCACCTATCTGGACCTTTCCGGCTGCACCCAGGTTTGTCCTTCAGATTTCTCTTTCTTGCAGCGGCTGATGAAGGAGTTTCCCGGAGCGGGGCTGCATCCAGCCCTCATGTTAGGCTACCGCTGTGCACAGCTGGCGGCAGCACCCTTCTCGGAGGTTTTTAAATCACATGGCCGCAGCTGCTTAAATATTCCCCAGGAATACTATAGGCTCTTGGCTTCCTTCCACCCAAGTGTCACATCGACCGGCAGGCAGAGCTCATTGGATGATGAGGCAGACCACTTCTGGGTAGACTCTCGGAGCACAATTCTGATACCAAGGTCTGAAAATCTTGAGAACTGTAGATTGCTACCAAGATACAGACAAAGGAAAACCTTTCTGGAGGGAGGATCTGCAAAGAACTTGCTGAGAAGGCAATTAGCTCCCACGTGGGCTTTCAACAGGCAAATCGTCTTGGTAAATGTGAGACAGGAAATCAAATAAAAATGGCAATGAAATGCATCTCACTCTTGGTTTAAAAAAAGAAACATGAAGATAGGAACTCTACGTGGAACACAGTTTAAGGCCGAGGGGACAGGCTTAAGGAAAATGAGGCAGAAAAAAGGGTGGAGTTGGGGAGGGGAGTGCCTGGTAGTTTAGAAGTGCTTTCTGCTTCATTGTTTCTTCTGTGCTCCTGTTGGCAGATCTAAGCTGTGATTCTCCAGTTTGTTTCTGCCACCTCTCTGTGCATTTTATTAACACCAGTGTCCCCGCATGCTCATCATCCTGTAAGAGTAATAAAATAGTATGGGTGAGAGCTGGTGGAACGATTGTTGTTGTTAGGCGCTGTTGCGTGATTGCAACACCTAATGAGCCTGTATACAGCAGAATGGAACCCTGCACCGTCCCCACAACTATTGTTGTGTTTGAGCCCAATATTGCAGTCACTGTATCAGTCCATCTCTGTGGGATACAGAAAGATTTCTCCCAAGCTGTCCCCCCACTATGTATGCCAAACACTGCTTGCTGCACATGGTAAATGACTGTCCACTAAGAGGTCAACGAAAGTAGGTCAGAGGTTATTCTCCTTAAGGATATCAGCCATCTAGAGCAACCAGACTGTATTGTCTGACTCACCCTAAGCAGGGCCCACTCCCTTCTGATACTGTTCTTGAAGGAGAGCCCGAAGGCCAGCCCAGGACCACTCAAGGGTGACTAAGGTTAGGCTACTACATTGAGTCCAGGGTCCGCCCATCTTGCCACATATGTCCCTCCATTCCCTCCCTTTACTGTTGCGCCTACATCCCTAGGTCATCCCCCTCCTATTGCTTGTATTGTCTATGTTACAACCCCTCCCTATGATGTAGGTTGTTATCTGTAATCAGGGGGCTTGCATGCCCCCAACGAGATGTAAGCTTTGTTTAGAAATGAAACCTCACGAGAGCTCGTTGTTGCCCTCTCATCTCCCACCTCCATGTGTACCACCAAGAAGAACTGAGGTGAGCATGCTACCATGAAATCTGAAATGTGTCTGACTTCTTTATTTTACTCTCTCTCCCATCTCTCCTATTCTCTATGACTTGACTAGAATCTTTATATATCTTAACAGTACGATTGTGCCTACCGAACCCGTGATTAGTTGTGGGGGGGTGGTTACCCCCACACACCTCATTAAGGGTCTTTCTCTTTTTTCACTGACCTGTTATGTTACCAAACATGATATCCTTTTCCAAGGCCCAGTCTCTCCTGAAAACATGTGCCAAGTACGCGGGATGCAATCTCACCATTCTGGAGTCTAAGGAGCATGCTGGTTGTTCTTCTCAGGCAGATTTGCGTGCCCTTCTGGAACATTCCTGCTACTTTCAATATTCTTCACCAGCACATAAACGAAATGCACCCATGCTTCTCTGGTCTCATTTATTCATTGTCCAGCTTTTGCATGCATATGAGGCCATTGAAAATATCATGGCTTGAGTCAGGCGCACAAGTCCTCCCAAGGACATCATTGTTCTTTAAAAGACTAGGTGCCCTCCCTTGCTCAGCTAAACGGTCATTTCATGATATCTACCTTCCTGACATGATCGCTGAAGACAGGTGTGTGTATAAGAAAATGTGGTGAAGAAAGCTGATGGTGCCCGGCTATCAAAAGATAAAGCATCTGGGGTCTTAAAGGCTTGTAGGCAAACAAGCGGCCATCTAGCTCAGAAACAACAAGGTCCACAGAGAAGAAGCACAGGAGCCTGTGCGAACACGAGGTGTTGAAGGGAACAGGCAGCAGACACCAAAGAACAAAAACCATCATTGTGTGATCACCTTCCCCACATAAATGCTGAAGACGAATGTGTGCATAAGTAAGTGTGGTGAAGGCTGATGGTGCCCAGCTATCGAGGCCTATAGCGTCTGGGGACTTAAAGGCTTGAAAGTAAACAAGCGGCCATCTAGCCCAGAAGCAACAAAGCCCACATGGAAGCAGCACACCAACATGTGTGATCAGAAGGGCCAAAGGGACCAGGCTTCAAACACCAAAGGCGGGGAGAAAAATCATATCCTCGTCAATGAGGGTGGCACGTGATGGGGACCCAATGCCCATCTCTAGACAACTGGACATACCTTGCAGAGGGGTAGTGGGGAGATGAGTCACTCAGGGTTCAGTATAGCAATAATGAAACCCACAACCTTCCTCTAGTTCTTAAACACTTCCTCCCCCCAACTACCAGGACCCCAATTCTGCCTTGCAGACCTGGTTAGACCAGATGATGCACAGCAGTACAGATGGGAATTGGAAACACAGGGAATCTAGGACAGATGAACCCCTCAGGACCAGGGGTGACAGTGGCGATACCAGGAAGGAAGTGGGGTGTAGAAAGGGGGAATTGATCACAGGGAGCTACATATAACCTCCTCTCTAGGGGACGGGCAGCAGAGGAGTAGGTGAAGGGAGACGCCGGGCAGTGTAATATAAGATATAATAATAATTTATAAATTATCAAGGGTGCATGGGGGAGGGGGAAGAGGAAGTTAGGGGGAGGGGAAAAAAGGAAAATGAGCTGATTCTGGGAACCCAAGAGGAAAGCAAATTTTGGGAATGATGAGGGCAACAAATGTATAGATGTGCTTTACACAATTGATCTATGTATTGTGATGAATTGTATGAGCCCCAATAAATTGATTAAAAATAATAATAAATAATGTCACACACACACACCAAAAAAAAAAATTAGGTGCCCTCTGTGGAGTTATTACTATATATCAGGCACCGTACTGAGTGCTTTACAGGGCATAGCGCTACTCAGCTTGGTGCTGCAGAGTATGGATTCTGTCTTTTAGGTAAATGGGAACCCTGGAGGTGCTGTCAAGTGAGTACTGGGCTTCAAAATGAAAGGTTGGTAGTTCAGACCCATTAGCAATTCAAAGGGACAAAGAGAAGGCTACCTGTTCCCACTCAGATGGACAGTCTTGGAAATCCTCTCCAGGGTTGCTATGCGTCAGAACCAACTTGCTGGCAGTGTGTGGGCTACATAAATGAAGAAACCGAGGCTCAGAGTGGTTGACTACAGTGCCCACCCGTGTAAGGTGGTGAAAGTGCGCCGAACTCGTTCAGTTAGAAGTCATAACACACCAGCTGGTATCTGTGAGGATGCTCCAAACTCCTGAAGACAGATGTGACATTAGTTAGCTTTCATAATGTGAAGTTTTGTAATAGATTTGACATTAAAATATACTGTTATCCCAAAACAATGCAATTATTCTGTGGAATCCGTTTAATCTGGTTTTTCTCAATGTTTATTTCTATACATTTCTTCTTAAGCTTACTTTATATACAAGAAATCAAAGAGACATCTTATATCAAAGGCATTTCCAAATTTTTCATATTTATTCTTCGATAAAGGTGGCACTGACAGTTGTTACCCCCCTCAGAACCAAACCCACGGTCATTGAGGCGCTCTGACTCAATGGTGCTCTATAAAGGGTCTCAGTGGCTGTCAGTATTTATGGGAGCAAAGAGCCTCATCTCTGTCCGGCCGGTGGCTGCTGGGTTTGATCCTCTGACCTTGCAGTGAGAGTCCAGTGCCTATCTGACAGCCCCAACCCAGCTTCCTTTGTCTCACTCTTGTGTTCACTTTTTCCTTCTTCTTTGAGTCAGGTCCCTAAAGACTCATTACAAAGGAAGGAGATGCTGTCTCATGTCTGTTCCTCTAAGTTAGGTTTTTTCTTGACGGCTCCTTAGTTAATATCATCACTTTGTTGCCAGTTGCAAGCTCCATCTAATATACTGCTGCCTGCCCACCCTAGGGCTATACTTTCTGAAAGTCTGTGTGGTGGAGGGAAGGTGGAGGGAAACTGAACAGGGGCAGGCAGGACTTCTTTGCCTAAAAGATCTAATAACCTCACCTTTTACCTCTCTCCATTATGACCACATATAAAGCCGTGTTGGTGAATGAGACATCGCCACCATAGGATATACATGTGGGTTGGGCTGTTAAGCACTAGGTCAGCAGTTTGAAACCACTAGCTCCTCTGCAAGAGAAAGCTGAGACTTTCTACTTCTGTAAAGACTTGCAGTCTCAGAAACCCACAGGGGCAGGTCTACCCTGTCCTATAGGGTTGCTGTGAGTCAGAATCGACTTGATGGTAGTGAGTTTTGAGTTATCATATCTATCTATCTATCTATCTATCTATCTATCTATCTATCTATCTATCTATCTATCTATCTATCAATCATCTATCTAATCAGATATATAAACAGGAAAGGGGCCGTGATGGCACTAACCAGATCTGCTAACCAAAAGTCAACAGTGTGAACTCACTACCTGCTACCAGTCTGTCTCAGTAAAGATTTACAGCCTCAGGCACCCTCTGCAGTAGTTCTACTCTATCCAACAGCATTGCTCAGAGTCAGAATCCACAAGAAAGCAATCAGTTTGCCTTGTTTGTTGCTATATACCTAACAAGGAGCCCTAGTGGCACAAGGCTGATGCGCTTCAGAGCTAACCAAAAAGATGGTTGTGTGAACCCACTCCGCAGCTCTGTGGGTTAAGGCCAGACTTAATGATAGGCTCCTGTAAAGATTAAGCTGACACATGCGGTTATTAGGAGTGGAATTGAATAAGAGGCACCTAATAACAACACTATATGTGATGCTTTAATACTGTATGTTTCTTTTGATTTTTCCCATAGTCTAAAGGAAAAGCTTTGAAGAAAGTGAGCCTCTTACGGGAGGAAGTGCCTTCCTGGATATATCCTCTTAGTCTTTCTTATCAGCTAATTGGTCCACATTCCTCTTTGAGAATGGTCCTTTAAAGGTTCACAATGTAAACCTATACTTAAGGGGAGTGGGGGGAGGGGAGAGGGAAAGAAAACCTCTACTTACTTTTGAGATAGCCAGGTTCTACATTAGATTACTCTCGATCCAATGCCTATATTTCTTGTTAAACTGAGTATTTGTATCAATTGACATACTTTCATAAGCAATGGAAAGAAACACAATTCTAAAGACCCAAACCATTGCTTTAC